GAAGGAGTGGGGAATCAAACCTGGTTCTCCCAGATCAGAGTCCATGCTCCTAACCACTATACCAAAGTGGCTCTCACCTTCATGTTACCTTGGACGCTGACTTACTCTTTAATAAACTGGTAATTGAAGTCTCTAGAGTAGCTTTTCACTAGTGATATGTGTTGCGAGTGCTGTATCCCTCCCTGGAGACTGGAATCTTTCTCTGCTGATGCATGCCTTTATAACTGCAGGCTTGATTACTGTAATTAACTGTATGTTGGGCTGCTCTTGAAGACAGCTTGGAAGCTTCATTTACCATAAAATGCTGTGATCAGTGTTCTGTTAAATATCAAGATAATTAGTCTTTGTCAGCTAATCGCCCGCCAGTTTCTTTCTGTGCCCCATTCAAGCTGGTTTACCTTGGCGACATGGGCTTTGTCCTTCTATCACTTGACTCCACTCTTAGTTTTGAAGTCTGACATTACTACACACTTCCCCTGACTCCTCATCAGCTTTACTCTTTTAATCCCATTGGCTGTGCTTGGATACCACAGTATTGTTTTTCAGGGGTGGGTATGCGTGCAGGTGATTAAGGCAATAGTATTTATTAGAATAATGGTGCTTGAGAAACCATTCGTTATATGTGTACAAGAAAATAGATGTAAAATGGAGACCAACCTGATCTTCAATTTATTATTTCCAGCAAAAATTTCAATACCAAAATCCAGAAAATCAAAAGACCTTCCTTTGATTCAGCATCAGATCAAGAAATCCTGGCTGACTGAAAACAACTTTACTGTATTAAATATTGAGGTGGAACATCACAGGCTTTGGGATTTTAAAACAACACATATTGTGAGCATCCTTATGGACTGAGTCAATGCAGGGTTGAAATTAATTTAATGTGAAATAGAAAACACGTTAAATTACTATACTATTAAAATTCCTGTGCAGAATTGTAATTGATATGAAGTCCCATTAATGTAGAATAGTTCCAATGGCTACCTCAGATAAGAATCCATGTTTAATGGCAAATTAATATACTTATCATTACAAAAGAGGGGGGAAATGGTGGGTTTGCCTATATTGCCAATACCCCCTGCTTATGAGAACTGGCCATCGCTGGATGCAGAGAACTGGATTAAATAGACGACAATACAGTATGGCAACTCAGACGCTATTATGAAACTGTAAATAGGTAGAAAAGATGTATTGCAAGGTGGTTAGATATACTACCTAATGCTTCTCAGCCGCTCTGGACTACAGTCTGTTAAACGGTGAACTGCCGATTCCATTTCCTACTTACCTTTTTGATACAATTTAAGATTTCCCTTCACCCCCAGATGCCTCAAAATAGATGACCCCTAGATCATCAAGCCAAGGAGTCTTCGTAACGAAATACTCCGTGGAATTTCCAGAAGAACTACATTACCCAGAAATCAAAGCTCTGGTCGTAGAAAGAACGTCTGCGCATTGAGACTCTCGGATCCAAGTTTGGAGCTTTTAGCTGCCAGCCCTGGCCCATCATGTAGGTGCAGCAGAGCCTTCCTTACCATTGCAATAGAGAAACCCACTTTGCAATCTGTTTTTCAAGGTGTGCAATTGCAGCTCTTTTCTCTGCAAGGAGCTCTGTTGTAGGGAGTAAGAAAAACTCCACTTGCATGAAGATTGAGCGCTTGCAGTTTGCATCTTTGTTGCAAAACTAGCTACTGAAGAGAGAAGGCAAAGTCTTTTGTGCTCCCCTCCCCCATCAAAGCAGAGGGGAAAATGTCTCAGCAAAGAGGTAAGGTTCCGACTTATGTTCCTTGCAAATATGCAAAAAGTCGTTCATGCATTTTGGAATTGCATGCATGCAATTTTCGGGATGCAATTGCATTTTGAAGTTTGAGGCTTTGAATAGCTCTCAGTTGCATTTCCTGTTTAGTATGTGCTTTTTTTTTTGCAGGCACACACACACAGTCGCGCGCGCACTCAAACGCACACACAGTTCCTGTAAGGCAGGGCTTGCAGTTCAGCTGTGCATTGACGTTGTTTGCATTCTTCTCCTGGGATTACTGAGCCCTTTTTGCCTTTTGCACAATCAGGACAGATAAAGGGTATTGGGAAGCCTATGCATGTGTCTCTCTCTCTAGCATCAAAATGGTAAAATGCAGACAAAACTGCGGACAATTTATCGTGCAAATTTAAATCAAACTTTATAGAAAAAGTGTCTGGTGAAAATGTAATGTGAAACTTGAGTGGAGTTACTAAGAATATATGCCTGTGTTTCCATGGGAAAGTATTGTTCTGGTGCCAGTGCTGAGCTCATTTTCCACAGAACCCCCCCCCCCCCCCCCCCCCCCCCCCCGCAGGCACTGAGTGTAGCTTTTACGGCGAGATTTACGAAAGGTATGCAAGGAAGTAGAGTTACATACAGAGGCACAGATTTATTATGTTTTTGGTGTTTTGAATGGAATCAGAGTAGATCTTTTAAAAAAATCACTGGAGAGAATTCTGTTTCTGTTTAAGGCTGTCAAGATAATGAAGGCTGGCAAATGGGAAAGGAATGGATAATATTTTGGGTCTATTGTAAAACCTGAAGAGTGGGCTACAATGTCCCATTCGAACTTTTAGAGAACAAAGTTTGCGTCCAGTGGCACCTTTTTGACCAACGAAGTTTTACTCTGAGTATAAGCGTCAAAAGACGTCGACATGCACACGAAAGCTTATACCCAGAATAAAACTTTGGTCTTAAAGGTGCCACTGGACTCAAACTTTGTTCTGCTGCTTCAGACCAACACGTCTACCCACCTGAATCAAACATCTGGAGTCACTGATTATATGTGTGTGGGGTCTTTCTACATGGGGAGGGGGGGAATCGATCGCCGCCTGAGGGGGTAAATTCGGGGGATCTCGATCCAACTTCGTGAATGTACAATTTCCACTACAAATACAAAGTATTATATTATGTAATGTATAGGCTGGAGGGATTGGTGGGGGAAGAATTTGAGAATCTGTGGACAGTCCTGCAGGATTCATTTAGGAAAACCACCTGTACGAGTTTCAGTGCAGCAATTATGAGTGGAGAGATGCATCGCCGTTATGCAACAGGACGGGGGCGATAGGCAGAGCTCCCCAAAGTTCATTCAAAGGGAGCGTGCTACTGCAGAGCTCTAAGAACTTGCACTTTGTGGCAGTTGAACTGCATAATTTATTCCCTATTTGCTGCAGTCATTTCTCCCAGCCAATTGGAAGACGATTGGAAACTCCCAGCAGAAAGAGTCCAGTCAGTTTGCCCAGCCACGGAAAGGATGCCTACAGAATAGGGCATTCAGTTAAAGTCTGTCATCCAGCGAGCCAAGAGGGGAATCCGTAATTTAGCAACTGGAGGAGGGAACGGAGAGGATGCAGGTGTGAACCCCCTTGCCCCCGAGTAATCTGTGACCAGGGCCTCTCTTTTTTCAGCAAAAAGATTCCAGTTCTCTAAAGGACTTGTCTCAATTAAAGAGAAAGGACCCCCAGTATTCAGGTTACGTTTCTTCCGTATCAAATGCAATTTTGTTTACCTCTCAGCAGAGTTCCAGGTAGGAATGGGGGAAAATAGCTTCAGAATTTCAGTGAGGCGTTCTTTTCTTCTTTTCTGTCCATTCTGACCTTTTTCACACACAGTGCTTTCAGTGTTTTGGGTTAGATGCTTATTAAGGGCTTTAAAACAAATTGCATTTTTACAATAAAAATTGCATACATAATATGTGTTATATAAGATGTTTAAATATAGGAATTTTTTTGCAGAGTTTTAGAACACAGATTAGGCCAGTGTGGGTTCTAGGAGGAGGACCAAGAGATCTTTTTTTAAAAAAGTCTGTTGCCAGGTTAAAACTGCAGTAAAAGCCACATGCCATTTCTGAGGTTCATGTCATATTATTTTGTGTTATTGACAAAGCACAATCAGTGTTAGAACTCTTTCAGTTAATATAAGCAAACCACAGTCTCTGCCCCAATGATCTTGCAGCCTAAATTTAGATGGGTGTGTGTGTGAACAACAGAGATAGTGAAAGAAGTGAGAGGCAGGAATAATAAGGGATGAATGTCACCAATGTTTTAGGCTTTTTTTTCAATTGAGAATGTGGAATTCCGAGTTCTTGGGACAGCCATTCAGACGGGGCATTTAAGCCAGTATAGAAGCCGGTTAGAAAAAGAGTACTTACGCGCGATCAGACATACAACATCTGCTTCCCGTTCCTAACCGTTGCCAATCGTTGCAAACACCCCTTAAACCGGTGTAGTTTGCCACTAGGTCCCCAAGTGGTGTTTTTCTGAGGGCTCTGATTCCAGCCGCATTTCCCCCATGTGATCGCTCTCTGCCGGTGTAGAGCCACTTCCGCTGGGAAGCCCGAGGCTTCCGCTTTTCGCCCGCCATTTTTTTTTTAGCCTCAGTGATATGCGCTTGGGCGAAGCTTCGCCCCGGTGTTAATTTTTTTTTAAAAAAAGGGGATTAGTTTTAGGCTTTTGATGAGTCTGGGACCTCACGGAGGCCCTTTTCGCTGTAAAAGTTTAAAGGGCAGTGTTCCTTCAGGGCATGCTTTTTGGGACAGGGTGTTCTGCGCCGCCTAGTGTGGACACCCGGGAGTGATGTGTTGCGTGGTGAGAGAGGTGAGTGTGACCGCACTTGCCCCGGATCAAATTAGTCCACTTGGAACCGGAGCAGTTTAAACCGCTCCCGGCAGGCCGTCTGATTACACCCAAAGAGAGGCAATATCATGAAAACTGTTCCTGGGACCATTTTCTTCATGTTCTTTTCAAGAATAGAGGTTAATAAAAGAGAATGCACCTCGCCCCCCGCACAGTCATAGTCCAGGTATTCTGTACATCATCTTGTGCATTGTTATTACATAAACTGAAGTGGGTGTGACGTTCCCCAAAAGCATGCCTGTAAATGGCATTATGGTTATGCTTTCTTCTGTAAATTCTTCTGTAGATGTAAATTGTGGCTCATATCTGTAGTTCATATATCTTTTTAATACCAAGAAATTGTAGGTTCATATGCTGCAATTTCATTTGAACCAGACACTCCCAACTACTTTTAATCACTGTGTTGCTGTTTAGGAGACTGTTTTGTTGTTGTAGCTTTGTTAACTGAATTGCTCGTATTATTACTATTATCTAATTTTAAGCCACTCAGAGGGCTTCTTAGGGAATAAGAGGCCTGTCAAACTGTTTTTTTTTAATAAGTACCCAAGGGTACACTTTTATTATTTTTTTCCATTATATACTACAGACATACAGACATACATACAAACAACCCCCAACTACCCCCCACAACATATAACATATAACAAAGGACTTTATCATTTCTTCTGCTTATTAGATTTCTAAATTCATTATCTATTTTACTAAGCTTATCTTTTCTGCATTCTCAAATTAATACATTTATCTATCATGGCCTGTCAAACTCTTAAATAAAAAGTGTTGTCAGTCCATCCTCGACTGCCCACTGATAGACCTTTGCCCAGTGGAGATAATTCACACAGCTAAAACAAAGCAAATGATAAGAGACTAACCATGGTATCCTAAACACACTTGGGGGTCCTGGGAATAAACTGCATTGAATAGATCTGAATTGGATTCTGATTAGACCTGTTTAGGATTGCTCAGGTGTACTCAGAATCCTACAGGTCTGTTCATTTGGGCTTCCTTCCAAGAAAGTTCTTAGGATTGCACTATAACATGTGTGAACTGGTCCTAAAAGTATTTTAGTATTGCAGATTTAGGGTCAGATTGTGTATATGGACTGTCTACGTTGTCTCTTCTAATGTGCCTGAGTACAGGCCTATGTAAAGAATACTGCATGAAGAATACCATTGATTTTCATTATTTCTTTTGAGAAGTACTCCAATCAAGTATATCACAGTGGGAGTTTACATGTGGATTGCCAGTTTGTACAACATCTATCTCCATTCAGTCTCTGACCTTTGAATACCCGGGGGGATTGCAGAGACCTTGCACATGCGTGTACTGGTTTTAAGCCTATGATGCTGAACGTAACGTATTTGGAAGGAAGTTCCTATTAGCACCAGAGGATTTTATTTGCAGGAAAACCTGTAACTCATTTCTCGCATATCTAGAAAGTCACTACACCACTTTAGTGGTCTACATTATGTCTAGCACGTTGGAGTGGTAATGATTATTAGGAGGCGCAGTTGAGTACAGTGGTATCCTGGAGTGTCTAGCTTTGAGGTCTTATGATCTACCTAGTTTACAATATTTTCATTGTGTTGACACTGAGCCATACTCAACTGTCCCAGCATTTCTTAACAACCTTGTTGAAACTGGAATGCTTTAGAATTCATTAAATAGATATTTAGTGGTCACCTGGAGCTAAATCAGATTATGATGTAATACTTCTAAACTACTGGGAGAATTTTGCGCTTGACCAATAGTGAGTCACTTTTGCAGATTGCTCTGTTTAAAGAAGTTGGCAGTGATTATGTTTGACTTGGGTTTTTGTGTGATCTTGATTGCACCATGTACTGCACCATGTACTGCTATGTAATTTATTGTTTACAGAGCTGGTGGAAACAGGATAAATACTAAAGTAAGCTTATATTCTAATAACAAAGTTGGCCAATCTTTGGTTACTTAAATCTGGAGACCGGAGCTGTGAACAGGGAAGACAGATCTTTCTACAAACCTGAAAAGGGCCACAGATTTGCCAAAAAATGTGAAGTCTAAAGAAAATATATTGAGGGCTCTAAAAAACCCTGAAAACGATAAAAGGAGCACATGTAGCTTTAAATATAATGA